ATTCTTTCATTTTGCGTTAATCATGCGTGATTAAAATGATTTATACTTCATATTGCCACCAAAATGACCGTTGGGCGTAATAATGTCCTAAAAACCGATTTTTTAAAATAAATATATTAGAGTGTAAACCCAAAATGTATCGCAAAATCTACCCGGCATCCTTCAATAGAAGGGTTAGGTCACCCAAAAACACCAAAACAGGGTACCTGCATAGAAAAGTCTACGTTGTACATCAAAAACAAAACTTTAAATGCGTTTTTCTCAAAACGCGGTTTCAAGTTATAGGCTGTTCTTGGTGCGGTGTCCTCAATTAAAATAGCCTTCATACACGCTGGCCTTGTCCATTTCCTTTGACAATTTTGCAGTCGTGAATGCAAAGCTGAAGTGCGCTCCAGCTAATATTGTATTTAGCAAATGGGTGCTTTTTATACGAGGATTAAAAATAAACAAGTGGTACGGAATATAACAAAAGAATATGAAGTATGCAAAACGATTATCCGGGTATCGGAACTTTGCTGTGTTGAAAACGCCTTCCAATGCGGCGTGATACCTCACGCATTCCGGAGAGTTCAAATAGTTGTATCATTGCGCCTTAGAAATGCGCAATCGAAATAGCCTTGTACAAGCTGGCTTTGTCGATTTCCTTTGACATTTTTGCAGCAGTGAATGCATGGCTAATATGTGCTCCAGCCAGAAGTGTATTCAGCAAATGAGTAGTTTTTATGGGAGGATTGAAAATAAACAAATGATAGGAAATAAAACATAATAATAGGAACTATGCAAAACAATAATCCGGATAGCGGAACTTGGCTGTTTTGAAAACGCCTTCCAATGCGGCGTGATACCTCACGCATTCCGGAGAGTTCAAATAGTTGTATCATTGCGCCTTAGAAATAGCCTTATACACGCTGGCCTTTCCGATTTCCTTTGACATTTTTGCAGCAGTGAATGCATGGCTAAAATACGCTCCAGCCAGAAGTGTATTCAGCAAATGAGTAGTTTTTAAAGGAGGATTGAAAATAAACAAATGATAGGAAATAAAACATAATAATAGGAAGTATGCAAAGCAATAATCCGGATAGCGGAACTTGGCTGTTTTGATAACGCCTTCAAATGCGGCGTGATACCTCACGCATTCCGGAGAGTTCAAATAGTTGTATCATTTCACCTCAGATATAAGACGGAAGATTACAATGTATTGCATTCCTTCATTCCTTACGTCTTTTTTCTGGCATAATACATCTGTTTTGAAGTTCCAACTTTAAGAAGGTAATATTTTATCACTCAATCTAACAAAATCACAATCTGAATAACATCGATTTTTGATCTCTCATAAATTCCGAATTTTCAGGTTTTAGTCGATTGCTTTTTATCTCGTTCCGTCGTTTTCGTTATATTTGTGGAATGAACTTAAATTTGATTATTCGGTTCAATCGTTAGTAGCAAATATAATGAAAATTAATTTGGAACTTTGCTGTGATAATTATATTAATGTCGATCAAATGCGGCCATCGTAATGTTAGATTATGAAAAAAATCCATGTTGACCGACAAAAATGATAGAACTTTTTTTCTAAATTCTATTTCGTACATGGTAAACTACAATGACCAAGAGAACAAAATTTTCTGAAAATGCTGGTCTGAGTGACTTGAAAGTTTTAAACTTAATTCTGATTGTCAAATTTTTCCCCATGAAACATTCATTTTCGATGAAATTTTCTGATTTTGTTCTTGAAAATACTCTGGGTTGAATTCTATTCTAAGTCTTTGAAAAATTAAATGAAAAATATCCATCGAGTTCCCCCAACAGGGGCGTGGCGTGAATCGCGATTTATCGATGGTTATGCCATTTAAAACTATGGGAAAGGATCGATAAATAGCGAACACCTTAATAATCGATTCTTTGCCATAGGTTCAAATGGCAGATCAATCGATATACGCAAACCACGCCACGCCACTAACCCCTAATATTTTTTGTTTTATCAAAGGAAAGTTGGCAACGTCTGATTGCTCATGCGACATTTTTCATGAGCACAACAGAGAAGCAGACAGTGGAAACGTCTGAAAAATGTGGATGAAAATACGGTGAACAATCAACTAAGGATCTCTATCTACAAATTAAAGTACACTTATGATCCTAACTCTCGCATTCCTCTCCCTTTTCTTTCTCCTTGCCATGGATGGACATTTGCCACTTTTTGACATACTTAAAATCTAGGTGCTTCAAACTGCAAACTTTTAAATTATTACTAAATAACTTCAACAGTGCAACGTGCAGTCATAAAAGGTTTATTTCACTAAATATTCATTCTTTGATCTTCCAGTAATTCATTTTCAAGTCGATAAAATTTCAGAGTCCTCCGGAGGTTCAATGAGCCTTGCTGAAATTATCTTCTCAACTGAATAATGATGCCTGAAAGCCCTCTGGTCTTGATTTAAATATCTTCCCTTTGTATCAAACGGTATTGCTCATTATCTGACTAAGAACGGTTTTAATGAATCGTTCACCAATTATTTCGAAAGCGAACTTGTCTACTGTCTCAGTCTCCTCAATAGAAATACGCCAAAAGCTCAAGGCTCATTTTATCACTGCGAGGCACTTTATAATTACTGCTACTCAGATCTGTAAAAGGATTGGAGAAAGGAAGAAAAAGCTATACTAATATTCGTGGTTCTGACACGAGTAATATATCTATCTCAGTTTTGCTAAGATTTTTTTACTCCGAAAATAGAAAATGCTTTTCAATATCATGAAGCAACACGTGCTGTGTGCCAATATAGTTCGCCGCACGTGAAATTTTAAAAGTGTGTTACTGTGATTTCGGTAAGCGCGACCAATTTTGTTTACTCCTTCTCCTTTCTTTTAGAGGGCGCTTATATTATCTGCAGGTTCAGGTTGACGAATTGAGAAGTACGGGGACTTGTAACACCACATTTTTTCTCGGTGGAAACTTTACAGTGATTTAAAATAGACCGAAGGAATTTGATGCGAAATTTTGGTATGCACTCAGTATACAGGGTGTTTCAGACCACCAGTACCAGGCCTTTTTCTCGGTTGGTTTAGGTCGTACGAAGTCGGAGACCGCGGGGTTGAATAGGGAATTTACCCCAAGGAATCCGAATTTTGTGGTCCCGAAACCCCCCCACCCCCCCTTGGGGGGTAAAGGGGGGGGTCACGATGCTAAAAGTCACGGTTCCCGACCGAATTGCGGATCGATCGCATCAGAATTGAAAAGCACGGAAAATTTCACGTGGAATTGACCCCTAAAAATCCAAAATCGGACCATCCAAGGCCCAAAAATGATTCCCTAAAGTGTGGGACAGTACCCCCCCTCCATAATTTCTCTTTGGTCTCAAAATTGACGTAAATTCTCCAGAAAAAGACGGTTTCCCAGGTAATCGACCTCGAGAAATCCAAATTTCGTGGTCCGGAAGCTCCTCCAGCTCCCCTTGGGGGATAAACGGGGGGGCCAAATTTTAAAAATCGGGGCTCCTTTCCGAATCGCAAATTGATTGCATCCAAATTGAGGAGCAGAACACATTTACATCTTAAGTGACTCCTAAGAGTTCTAATTGACCCCCCTGAACGGCAGAAAGTAATCCCCTGAGGAAGGGAGCCTCGCCCCCGCCAAAAATTTCTCAGGATTCCTCTTTGGTCGCAAAATTGACTTCGATTCTCCAGAAAAAGACGCGGTCTCCCATGTAATCGACCCCGAGGACTCTAAATTTCATGTTCCCTGAGCTCCTCGGGGTCGATTACATGGCAGACCGTCTTTTTCTGGAGAATCGACGTCAATTTTGCGACCATTGAGGAATCTTGAGAAATTTTAGGCGGGGGCGAGGCCCCCTTCCTCAGGGGATTACTTTCTGCCGTTCAGGGGGATCAAATAGAACTCTTAGGAGTCACTTAAGATGTAAATGTGTTCTGCTCCTCACTTTGGATGCAATCAATTTGCGATTCGGAAAGGAGCCCCGACTTTTAAAATTGCCCCCCCCCCCGTTTACCCCTCAAGGGGAGCTGGAGGAGCTTCGGGACCACGAAATTTGGATTTCTCGAGGTCGATTACCTGGGAAACCGTCTTTTTCTGGAGAATTTACGTCAATTTTGAGACCAAAGAGAAATTATGGAGGGGGGGTACTGTCCCACTCTTTAGGGAATCATTTTTGGGCCTTGGATGGTCCGATTTTGGATTTTTAGGGGTCAATTCCACGTGAAATTTTCCGTGCTTTACAATTCTGATGCGATCGATCCGCAATTCGGTCGGGAACCGAGACTTTCAGCATCGTGACCCCCCCTTTACCCCCCAAGGGGGAGTGGGAGGGTTTCGGGACCACAAAATTCGGATTTCTTGGGGTAAATTCCCTATTCAACCCCGCGGCCTCCGACTTCGTACGACCTAAACCAACCGAGAAAAAGGCCTGGTGCGGGTGGTCTGAAACACCCTGTATTAATGTAAATGAGGGAAGGGCCTGATTATATTATACTTCAAATTACAGTAATTTTAAGATTATTCTTATTTTAAATCTATTATTATGATCGATGATATCATTAAAATTGTATCTCTTGAGAAGTAAAAAAATAGAGGTTTCAAGGTCACATTTACTGCGCATATCTCATTTTCGATCACACTCTTTTAGTGTATTTTCCGAGGAAAATAGGTACACCTTTTACTTCCATTTCCTGACCTAGGATTTGGTTGTGCGGGACGTCACTGCACTGGTGCTCTAATTCAAAGGCTTTTTGTATTATTCCTTTTTTTGTGTGTTGCATTAGGTGGTTTTAAACTTTCCAAGGAAAGAAACACCCAGATCCGTCGAAAAATTTTGCCTTTCAACAAAACTGCACGATAAAAATTTGGAAGAGCTTAGTGGAACTAGACGCATTATTATTAAATTACACATTTCCTGTGTTGTTTTGCAGGTATACTTTTTCAAATCTTTGAAACTGCTCGAAATTAATATATCAGGAACAAGATGAAAAAAGAAAATTCGTAAAATAAATTATTGCTGTCATGAGAATGTGTAATTGTCAAAAATATTCACTGATTTAACAATGTGGAGAAAATTAAACGGGGAGAGCAAGTAGATCATCATAAGAGGGACAATCTAGTGTATTTGAAGTTTTCACCAGTAGTAGCTTCCATATGCTGCCGGAGCGTAACCGTAGCCGTAAGCTCCGTAAGCTGCTGGGGCGTATGCGTAAGGGTATCCTCCGTAAAGGATGGCCCGTTTGTCTCGGGCTTGCTCGGTGCCTTGCTGGGCAAAGACGGCGCTGATGGCTACCATGGCGAAAAGAAGAGCAACCTACAAAAATTTGAGACAGATATGCTATTAGCTACTTCAAATATGCAGAAATAGTACAGAATATATTTTCAGGATGCAATGGATGAAGTAACTGAAATAAGTGTGAATTCAAGAAAATCGGGCTAAAACTTGGAATGTAAAATAAGTTTGTGTCCGAAAAAAATTTAGGAAGTTGAAGGACCAAAATTCAGGTACTGACAAGTATTATTAAAACTGAACAAGGAAAATAGAAAAATAGTGTGATGCTCGGATTTAGTTTTTCCAAAGTGATTTGTAGGAATGAAACACTAACCCGACCTAAATCTGCTATATATCTCCCCATGAAATATGAATTTTTCACCATGCAAACATTTCCCGATTGTTTTTATTTACTTGCTCATTCGTTTCATTTTTTGGAATTTAGTAACTTTACAAAACTTGTTTCCCCGGGAGTAATATTGAGAAAACGACCATTTCATAGTCATAAATTGTACAAGTGCACATTTTGTTATGAGCGTCACAATTGAGATGATTGTGGCTCATTGTGGTATTATGCTTATTTAAGGTACGTAATATTTTTTTTAGCAATAAATAATTCGTCAGGGTTTTTTTCGAATATAAATGATTCCCCCATTCACTTCTCCTCCTTCTGTCTTTCAAATAGAAAACTATAAGGGGGAAAAACATGATTTTTGTTAAGATTTATCTCAGAGCAGGTAGAAACCACAAAACCACTGTCTGATATTGTATCCAATAGGACTAAAATTAATTTTTTCTTAGGATTGTTTAAACATTAAAATTTTCAGAATTCAAGCAATTTTCGTTTAAAAGTAACTAAAACTAGGTTCAGTAATTTTAAAATGGTTCATTCTGAGATATGGGATATGAAGAACACGTTGTACTTACGATGAATTTCATGGTTGGGTTTGTGTTTGAGTTGTTGCTGATGTTTGTTTAGATCACAATTAAAAGCGGGTGGCGACGAATTTGCCTCTGCCCCTTTTTATACCTGGTGACTGTCGATAATTGCACTACGATCAATTTGCGTCTCAGTTCGTTTATCTATCATCACTTGAAAAGATAACTCGTGCCTTAATTCGAAAGAAATTAGTGTCACGACAAAGTAAGATATCTAAATGACCATCGAATCTGGGTAACTGAAAATCCTTTGTGTTTAATTTTTATCTCCAGTTGAGGATCTAACGATCAGCTGAGTTTGGTTTGTATAAAAGCTTCGCGTTTCATGTCAGAAGCATCCACTTTTTAGTGTCCTTCTGTTTTGATACCCACGTCAAAAAACAAAACCAACAACCATCATGAAATTCCTCGTAAGTAAAACACAGTTTTCCTTATTTATTATGTGGCTTATATTTTTCTACTTTCTTTTTCTTGGGACAAAGCAATTTTACAAAAGAGGGATTATGATTTAGCCAAAAATGATCAGCTAATTCCAAAATACGTAAAAACAGCTGATTCTTATTTGCAAAGTTTGATCCAATTATCCTGCTCCCCCATTTTCTAGATGTGTATTTGTCTATAAAATAGTCAACATTTCCATTTATTGTAATTCATTTATGAACTACATAATTTTTAAATGTTCGAGACTTTCCCCAGTTTTCTTTTACAGTTTCGATTTATTTTGAGAAAGTTTAGAAATTGACCGCCTCATGTATTTTGTTCATTAATTTCTTCTTATCCTCCAAGGAAAATCGTATGGTAATTTGAAGCACAGATATGTACTGTAAATCAAATTTGACCTACATTGGACTCAAGTAGACTATTGGTTAAACTTAATCAAACTTAAGGCATCATTTATCAAGCTTTTAATAATATATGTAGAAATAATATTCAGAATATTGCAGATACTACCGATATTATAGATTACCTTAACCCAAAAGTTTTGCTTAATCCGTTTGCCACAAATTTTTCCGTGTTTCGATGGTGAATTTGAAAGAAAAAGCACTTTCCGTGCTGTTCGTGTTCATGTTTAATTATTTGCATAAACTAAAAATGCGTATACTCTGTCGAAGAAAATGACCGGATGACCCACCCTCAAACTTTGTTGCAGGTTGCTCTTCTCTTCGCAATGGTCGCCATCTCCGCCGTCGTGGGTATGCAATCCGAAGAACAGGTCCGTGACAAGCGGGCCATCTACTACGGTGGATACCCCTACGCCTACGCTCCGGCCGCCTACGGAGCTTACGGCTACGGTTACGCCCCAGCGGCATACGGAAGCTACTACTGGTGAAAATAATCTTCACACGTCGATAGTACATGTATAAAACCATACATGATTTTGTTTCGATCAAATGCTCAAATAAAAGTTTAATTTCTTGATAACTGAACGACTTGGTTCTATCATTTTACCAAGAAAAATCTTGAAAGAAAAATTAGGAAATTTTTCATCAGAAGTAAGAACTAAAATATTTACCTCCAAAGTATCGTAGCAATATGGTTATTACGAATGAGAAAAAAACACTAAGAAGTGACCCGAATACTGTATGTAACAAGGTGGAGAAATGGTGCTGGGTCCACATCATTTCGTGGGGAAATCAAAGCCAAGAAATTCCAAAAAATTAAAATTGGAGTTAAAAATATATTTTAACTCTAAAGAGTACCAGTGCAAAACTAAGGGGGGGGGGTGTTCAGCTCGGTTATAGGACTTTTGGTCCAATTTTTTTTGTCCACAAATTTTTTCGTCCAATTTATTTTGTCCACGACTTTTTGTCCTTGAAATCTGGTCCAAGTTAAATTCGTCCTGGTAAATAGTTAGTCCTACGCATTTGTTCGTCCAGTGGTATTAGGTCACATTTCTGTGGTCCAGTAAGGTAAAAAAGTTATGTCCAAAACTCACGTCCAATGAGGCCGTTTCAGCTACTTCCTTTCAGCTTTCAGCTACTTTCAGTCATCGTCTGAGTCTTCTTCGTCCGAGTCCGGTGGATCTGCGCGTGGCGTGTGAATCAATTGGCGTTAAGATCAATTTATTTCGTAGCTATGGAGACCCTTAAATTTAATCCCAACATCGAAAGAAAAAACATCGAAGAGGTTATTTTACCAACGAAATTACCAACATTACAAGGACACGAACTCACTTAAGAAGTACCTCCGAGCATGTGCGTACCACCTCAAGTTGCACACGCCACGCGCAGATCCACCAGACTCGGACGAAGAAGACTCAGACGATGACTGAAAGTAGCTGAAAGCTGAAAGGAAATAGCTGAAACGGCCTCATTGGACGTGAGTTTTGGACATAACTTTTTTACCTTACTGGACCACAGAAATGTGACCTAATACCACTGGACGAACAAATGCGTAGGACTAACTATTTACCAGGACGAATTTAACTTGGACCAGATTTCAAGGACAAAAAGTCGTGGACAAAATAAATTGGACGAAAAAATTTATGGACAAAAAAAATTGGACCAAAAGTCCTGTAACCGTTCAGCTCAGGCAGTTTTCATTGCAACTATTCCATGGAATAATAAGTTGGAGTCACGGCGAGAGATCCATACCGGTTAAGGTCTTTTTAGACCTCATCACCAGATCACTAAAAAAATATTATATAATTATCAGATAATTGAAAAATATTTTTGAACTTCTTGGCTTTGATTTCCCAGTGAAATGGTGTGGACCCAGCACCATTTATCCACCTTGTTACATATGATCATTACGTTAAACACTGTTGAGTTTTTTAAAGTTTTTCACGCGTTCATGAAAAGCTAATTGCAAATTATTCTGATGATGATCTTCAATAGACGTCAACATTTTTTTTTCAAGACCTTACAATGCTTTTGAAAATGAAGTCAGGAATTGCAACGAGAAAGGCTTCTCATAAGGCAATTTAAATTCCCGTGCAAATGCAGTTTAGATGTGTCGCAATGTAGAAAAGTTTTAAGAGGAATAGGTAAATCACACCGTGGCAGAGGCACAGCACTTGAGTCAAAATAGCACTCATAAGACTGATCAGCAATATTAACAGCACAGTTCATGTTTACAGCTTAAAAGATTCTTCTCTTGTAAGACAAAAACTTCATCATGAACATTGAACTTAGATTACTTTGAACTATATAAACAGAGACAACTATACAACCGTGAGGAAAATAAAACAAAACTCATAAAGACAGACTGTATTCTCACCAGGGCTGGTTATTGTTTAATGGAGAATATATATTGTACGTTGACCAAAAAAAGGTAGGCATACAAAAAACATCGTACTGAAGGTCAACCGTCACTCGCGGAGCGAGTGACTGGGGGTCCAGGGGGCGAAGCCCCCGGCTAGCGGAGCAAGCGAGCGTAGCGAGCTGAAGCAGCTAGTAGGTTTGTAAAATATCTGATAATTTAAAACATGAAATAAAATTTTCACATTACGTTGACTACGTAAATATCCAGAGGGATTGATACTACATCGAAGTCTTATTTATAGTGCCGCACAGAAGTCTCGGAATTTGGAGATTGAACAATGCTTGAAAGGAGTGACAGCTTTTTCATCTCCATTGCGACTCTACGGGTAAGATTGAATCATCTTGTCTAATGAATGGCCACTAAAATTGCAGTAAGACTCATTAGACTATTTATCTATACTACATCGCAACGAACCGATAGGATCATAGGCCTCTTTGGAACGACCTTAAAATTCAAACTGTCGTTCGAGCTCGTTTGCTAGTCATAACTCTGATTTGCACGATTAAATTTTCTCACTTATTGAAACTCTGTTTTTTTAAAAAACATTATGGTCACAATTTTTCCTAAAGTACTTATAGAGGCTTTGCAGATTGTAATCTCTGACTCTCCTCCTTGTTACTCGATTAAACTTTCAAAGAATCATAGCGTGTCCCACTGCATGCATTATACGAAGCCTCCTTTGTCACTGGACGAGAACACCTATTTTTTTCGTGGTTTTTTCTTTTTAAAATGTTTTCATTACACATTATCCAACTAATTCATTCAATACAAAGAGGCTCTCGTTATAACAAAAGCCAATAAGAAAAATACGGACGAGCTCCAACATCAGTGACTCAATATACTTAGGTACCATTCAGAGGGGCAGCAAAATCTCTAGGATCCCTCGGTCCTTGGACTGCAGGCTCGCGGTGTGTACTGGTCGGAAATGTCCAAAGATCAAAGCGCGCACTGTGGCAAACGCGCAATGCGGGAAGTGTTCCAGCAGTCTCGTAGGCGCTAGTATGCGCTTAGCGCCGAGTGCACTGTGTTAGGCGCGATTAGTTTAACTCGCGTGATCAGCGCTTTTTCAACTCGTTACCTATCATTAAGTGTTTGCTCCTCTGTATGGATAACTGGCATTTAATAGGTGAAAAAAATTACATCCAAATAATTTTCTTTTGTTTATTTACAAGTGGTAATCACTTACTCGCACCTCTTGTGAAACTGTGGACTGATTTGTCAGCCGCTAGAAACTCATAAACAAAGGGAGTAGTCACTGTTTACGCTCTTAAAAAGACGGATTCCTGGTTGAAACTTGCACTTTGACCCATGAGCCAGGTTAACAGGTCGCTATGGACAGTTCGCAAGCTTGTCGAGTCGGGAGGAAAATGCATTTATTTAATATAGAAAGTTCAAGGTACTGACCGATTTCCTTGCGGTAAAGAGGTTCTCGTTATGACGATAGCGTTACAAAGAGACTACTTTAAAGAAAATTTAGTCATTTTTCTTCTTTATTATTTATATTGATTGAATTTTTATCGAATACGTTTTGTTATTTTTGAAAAGAAAATAATAATTATATCTATAAACCCGATAGAGTCTGTACCAATATTAGCATTTTGATACAATCATTAAGAGAAAGAGAGTCTCTATAATGATTAAAAAGCGGATCAAATGCAGAGATCATACTTGAATAACCCAATGAAATTAAATGCAAATAATAATTTATGACCTAACTCTTAGGATAATAGTAAGATGCTAGTATTGAAAAAGCGGTAGATAATTTCGTATCGAGGAAAGTATTTATCGTTAGAGAAAAAGAAAGCAAACACATTTGAGGAGTATGTCGAGTTATATTTTAAAATTTAGTTCTCTGAATCGATAAATGATCGTATTAGATTTTGCATAATAATCTCTCAATGTCACCATTTTTACAAATTACTTAAGAATAAATACGAGTTTGTAATGAATGTTGCTCGCACACCTGACTTTAGTAAGAATGCTCCTTCAAGGCAAATTGTGTATCATGTTCGTAAAAGAGACACCAATAATTTTTTCATAATGTTTATTTTTTTAATTTCTGTATGGTTTTACAGTATTTTCTTGAGAATAAATGCTAGAGCACAATAATGGTCGGGTATGATCAAGACGCGAAGTCTGGCACAGGGTTGATTTTTGTTTGTGACGATGGCATTTGAGATGGTGTTTGATCAGTGCATCTAGTAGTAGCCATAGTAAGGCGCAGGGGCACCATAGTAGCCATAGGGGTAGGCCGAAGGGGCGTATGCGTAGGCGGCCGGGGCATACGAGTAGGGGTAGGAGTAGCCTCCGTAGAAGATCGCTCTCTTGTCTCTTGCTCCTTCTTCGCTCTCGTTCGCGAAAACAGCGAAAACGGCGAAGATAGCGAACAGTAAAGCAATCTGAAAAAATTAAATAGTTATCATTTAAATAATAATTCAGTAGATTGATTCGTCAATTTTTTTTTTTTGAATTTGGAAATAGTAAGTGAAATCTGCAAAAATGTGTAAAAATGTGTTCTGAGGAAGGCGCTCTGAAATTCGATTGGAAATAGATTTAAGCTGAATACTTTAAAATTTTAAAATGTGAAATTCCTGGAAAGATGTCAAACTTTTTATTTTAAATGAGATAAAACTACCTATCAGTGATACATAAGTCACAAAATGCGCAGTCAAAGGAAATCAGCTGTTGTCACATTAAATTTGGATTTTTTTTTTTTTAAAAGAACGGTTTAGCCGATTCTTTTGAAAAACATTAATTTTGCTCTTTGACGATAAATTTCTTATTACTTTCTAACGAATTGATACATACTACATACTCTCTTTTAAAGAAAAATAAACAATGTAATTTGGCAACAGCTGACGGTGCTCAAGAGACAACTCCAATGTGTTCACTTTCGTTGAACATTTTGTCGAACAAGAGGGGGTTTTTTGCCCCATTAATTTGGGCTATTCATTCAAGTTGCTATCCATACCTGCACGGCGAAAGGATGGAAATTGGGCCGATTGGTCTTATAAGGGTCCAAGCATAAATGATGTAACGTGGGTTCTAGTAGTAGTTATCAAAATATTTGGTTCAATTATTATTGGCATGCCTTAACTGATACTACTGACAGAGGTCTAATAACATCCAAAGGTGATTGCAATTTTGAGGATCACAGACATATGTTGTAAGTTAGCGAATTAAGTGGAGCCTTAAGGCTTAAACCGCGAGCACGTTTGAGTGTGCACCGAAAATTTGAGTTATGAAGTTATATTCCATGATATACTTTGAGGCTTTTCCTGGATAAAAGTGATGCATTATTTCGCAAAAAAACTAAACTGTGCCGTACTATATTCCGGAACTGTTAGTAATGTACAATTGTATCGTCAGACTTACTTGGAATTTCATGATGGTGTTTGGTCAGCTGCTTAGAAGCAAAGATTCAAATTGGAGCACAAAAAGTAATGTATGTTGTTGAGCTTGGCGTAGATTCTTTTATATAGTGTGAATTTTACTTGATATTTTGGGGGACGTGAGATCAGAGACACGCTATTTAGATGGGGCGGGGGCTGTGGGGTGCACTAAAACCCCTTTGGCGATCAAGATAACGATAGCACTGATTGATGCTAATCACAGTGAGATTTAGAGTGATAGATTGATGAGCTACGGTGCCATGCTGTTGATGTTAATTGATATAAGAACGACCACAAAATGCCATCATTAAAATTAGTTTCATTCCCGCATGAAAAGAAGGAAAGCGAGCTTTCACGTCGCTTTGCTCCGCAAGCTAGGCATAACTGTTCTCGTCAAAATTGAATTTGATTGAAATTCAATGAATACATTAAAATTACTTGAAAATTAGATTCCTGGTCACTGTTGACGATTGTGTAAAAAGTATTCGATTCTTCGCTAAATCTTTGTCATGGCCCTTGCTGGCAGGAATGCGATAACCATATTTTAACTGATAGTTTTTTACATGTTCAAGTCACACACTTTTTACATATGACTTTGTCAAATAAAAGTTTCATCCTCATCAAGATATTCTCCTTGGATCCTCGTTTTGACAAGATTTGGCGTTCCATCTTTTTACTCCCCAAAAGCAACTTGTCAACTCCAAAATCAAAACCTCAAACCATCGTAGTTCTTTGGTTTGACATTTATATGGTTTTCTATTTAAAAAAGTAAGTTGAACGTTTTTTAAGCTTTGATGTGGTGCTACCAACCAAAGTTCAAGTTTTTGTAAATCGAGGTATCTTTTCCTGTGCGAACACATAAGCGGATCCAGCAATTTGGCAACACCGGATTTTCTCCATTTAAACCTATTGAAACGTATCGATTCTTGGAGAGGCCAGGTGCTCCAACAAGACTCGATTATTTAGTACAGGTTTAAGGGAAGGATTTGGTTTTGCCAAATTGTGCCAATGTGTCCACCGAAAAAGAGACCTCGATTTACAAAAACTTGAACTTTGGTTACTAGAACCACCTCTGAGTGGACAGCCAATGTTTTTTTAGTATTTTCCTCCGTGCAGCGTTCAAAAGACCACATACACGGAAGACTATTGTTTTTCCGGCAGGAATGACGATGAATTACCTTGAAAGTGCATTGAGGAAGGTTCATCCCACGCCTCGCTCAAGATAGCCGCGCTGTCGATCGAAGCTTTAAAGCTGAGGGAAGATCAAAAATAAACCCCGAGTTGCGACTCGGACCGGACCGGTGAGACATCTTCCAAATTCAATATCCTGTTCTCAATATTTTGCATTCCTCGGCTTTCCGCGTCGGGCTCTGACCACAGCGAGCGAATATTCCACCATGACGAGAGGATCAAAGCGTGCTCCGGTGGCTTGCAACCTGTCGTAGTAATCTAATTTCCTCACAGCAGTCTCCCTAGTTGCCAGTAGAGTCCCTTTAAAGAGAGAGTTGAGACAACGCGGCTTGTGGATGTCACAAACGAGAATAAAGATTATACAAATCGGAGGTTTGCAGCTGTAATCTTTGATCAACCCATTCCCAAATTCCTGTCTCCGTTCCCACTCTCATTTCATTTTTTCTTTGCCGTACTTACTATTCTCCGGTCCATTCCAGTTTATAGTCTTTGCAATTGGTGAAACTGTAATAGTTTTTCCCGTTTGGTGACACTGCGAATGTCCAAATACAGGAACCAATCAGAAATGGATTCGAATTGTCTTTACTCGCAGTATAAAGGGACTGTGATTGCCAGATTCTAGTTCTAAATAGATCATTGAAGTGAATCTAAGTGATCCAAAAATAAAAACCAAAAATTGGAATGAAGATGTACTCTTTTGCACCGTGATTTTATCTTAGAATATGTCTCGACATTTTAGATATGGAAATATTGCGTCACCTTCCGGCCAAAGTATCTTATTACTGAGAAATTGTTGGTTGAATTTGTTAAAAATATTAAATAAGTCAAAAGAGCTGCAAATCCACAACTTTGCTCGACGACTTTGTTCAGCACCAGTATCTCAATCTTATGAAGATATTATGAAACTGAATAATTTGGCTGGCATGACTTCAGTGTCAAAAATTTTGACTTGTTAATGCTGTTTTTTTTTTTTTTTTAAACCGGCCTTAAAAATTAAGTTTGAGACTTTAGTTCGATCAAACGTGTTCAAAAATTACAGAATTTTTAGAAGACCCTGAGAGAAAAATCGGTGCCGAGTTCAACAGAGAGGAACTGCAAATGCGCCATCGCTGAAAATACGGTTAAATCATTGCTGCAGTGGCACACATTATGTGGAAGCTGCGACGGAATGCATTATCTCAAAAATAACTTTTCTATTTGAACTTTGCATTTAATTTTAGAAATAAGAACTGACTAATTTATAAGCTTCTTTCGCAAGACAGAAAAAGCCGAACAATCTCAGCAGCAGCATTGCAATTTTTTGTGTTCATTTTTCCCAATCGCTGTTCACTAGTTCTTTAAAAGAAGAATGATCAGAATAATTTTCAAAATTAAAAATCTTCCGCTTATTATGAGGCAACTAATCTTTTGTATAGGACTTTGTGACTATCTTGCGTACATGATTGATTTTTTCACTATTCTTCATTGATTCTTAAGTTTTGAAATTGGATCGAGTGGGTAAGTCAGAAATTACTACATTTGTGCTGAATACAATTATTTACATTTTTATTTTATTTTTTTAAATTTTAACACAATTCAGAAAAAAAATATTTAACACTGGTAACATTTGGTCTTAAAAATAAAAATACGAGATTCTTTGATCACATGTTTTACAGCTAATTCAATTATCCTCCAAATTTCTACCGGTCTCTTGTGAGTTCCGTTTCAGAATATGTCTCGCTCAAAATATTGCAGTGAAGCACATAGTCAGTTTGAACCCAAGCCGTAAATTTGGGCTTTCTTCACTCTGTACTGGAAAAAATAATCAAAACTATTCTATTTCAAGAGACGAGTAATTTTCGTAGAAAACCTGCTCTCTTCTAAAATAGCACAGTTTTCAGAAACACTCCTTGAAATTTCTTCACTGCCAGTGTGAGGAAAACAATGTTCTTTTCTTGACAAGTCTGACCGAGGATTTCGAATAACTTTGCCAATCAAAGAACACAATAAACCAAACTTGACAGCAATGAAAGGGCACACTTTGGCCTCCTGCAACGAGAGAGAGAGAGAGAGCGAAGGATCTAAATGATAGAATGGCCAGATTTTAATGGCTAAATAAGAGATCGAAAAAATGTGGAGGAAAGAATTAAGCCTCTTTCCTATAATTGTGACTTCACTGGTATATTCTAAGGGACAGATGATACTGATATCAAGAGATGTTAACATATTTCAGTGACTGGCTACCCAACAATGAGTAAAAATGAACTGGACACGAAGGGCAAACGATAGGCTGATTTCATAAAGTTATGGTGAATGGGAGAGAAGGCACTTAAGATTGGCAAAACTTAAAAGGATAAAAAAAAAGGTGCATCCCATGTAAGGAGAATGAAGGGGGGCATACCCCATATAAAAGGGCATCTTTTTCACCAGGGATTATGGGTTTTCCAGGCAAGATAGGATAATCTCACCTGTTACTATGGCTGGGGGAGGGGGGAGAGGAGGGGGGTACGATTGCACATACTCCATGAGTACAGGTCAGAAGACCCGAATTGGAGTTTTGCTGAATATTTGTACTAGGTTGCTTAGTAGTAAGCAGGGTAAGCAGCGTAAGCTGCAGGTGCTGCGACATAGCTAGCGCGGTAGGCGGCCGGGGCGGCTACGTAGGCGGCGGTTGGTGCATAGGCGTAGCTAGCTGCAGGTGCGTAGGCGGCGTATGGGTAGGAATAGGCGTATGGGTAGGCAGCCAGAACGCCTCGCTTATCCCGGGCTTGTTCCCTCGTCTCTGCTGCGAAGACGGAGAAGATAGCGAAAAGGGCGAACACCAACGCGACCTGAAAAATAGTAGACATTTTTAGGATTAATAGATACCACAATAATAGACACTAAAAGGTCGAAATGTACAAATGTTACAACATGTACAAATGTTACAAACACAATGGTACAAATGGTTTCAATATTCAAAAGTAACATGAGTTAGGATTCAGGATATATCGACGGGGAAACTCTACCAGACCACGTATCTCGTTTGCGATGTACAAAAGTCTCCACTCCATTGCATTTTTTTGAAGGAGCACAAGTCAATATCAGTTCTTGAAATTTTTACCGAGTTTTCCTCGCATAAAGAAGAAACAACAAGGAAGTTTTCACGTATTGACGTTAAGTAGTTTTCTATTTAAAAAATAAAGTATGATAGGAAGTTTACAACGTCGCAAGCCGAGATACGTGGCATGGTAGTTTCACCATCGATATATCTGTTTGTATCGAAAGAATATTTGAGGAATATTTTCTTCGTCACAATTGTCATTAAGGAGAACCGAAATTTGCTTGATGTTTCCAAAATATTGTGTAACGTTCCAGAAAATGATAGAGCACTGAAAATATTTTCTAATTGTTTCAATATATTCAATAGTGATCCTAAAAACAAATTCGAAATGTACCTACTACGGATCCTGAAATAATAGATAAAGTATGAACAAGATAAATAGTGGTATAGTTGCACAAAACAAAGAAAGAATAATATATTTTAGGTTTACCATTTACTACTGTAATACTCCATGTATTCTTATGCGAATTAATAAGAACAAAGCGTTTATTTGGGCAAAGGGGAAATGGGGCCTCAAATAAACTAACTGGACGCAAATAAGTTTAGAAGTGAATAAGGAAATCACGAAACTACAGTAAAAATTAAGGATTTTTGTAGTTTGGATTGCAAGATTTCCTCGTCTCAAAAACAAAGTTCGTAAAATTTGGTACATAAATGTTTAAGTTTTCGAAGTTCAACTTCATACTAGGTTCGCACTTGTCAAATTCACCATGAAAGAGGCCTCCATCAATCAGCAAAGAGTTTTCCCTTGTCCCCAGATCATACTGGCTGGCTCAAAGCTTTGAGAGCTGTTTGTTCTCTCCAGCCCAGTTCCAAGAA